TACTATAAGAAATACCTAATAATAGTAGGACTAGATATGTGCAGAACTGAAATCAGTATCAACAAAAAACTTTACCATAATCGGAACTTGAATGTGAACTTATATCCTATTTTAACTTCATTAGTACTGAAATGCAATTTTTGCCGTGTGACATCAAGCATTTTATTACTGTCAGTTTAATATCTTGTTATACAGAAAGAAACTCTTTACAGTGATCGAAACAGACTGGTTTCATACATGTTTAAGTCAAACTCTTTATTCATACTAAACTTTCTTTTTCAATTAGTATTGGATAATTTGATAAACAAAATACATTCTTTCGATTAAAAAACATAACTTCATTCGAAATTTATGCTTACCACAAGGTAAGTAAATAAAATGTAAAGAATGACTAAAAATATTTTTTTATTTAGATCGGCGTGAAATATACATCGTTCGATGTAGTTTTTCCTAATGGTTACGAATATGTTATTGATATTTTCCTATTTGTGTAAAATCTTAGGAAAGAGAGTCAATTAAAGCTAATGCTAAATGCGGAATAATAAAATATGATGTATGTTGCTTTTGAGTGTAAAATATAAAATAGGCAACGAATATTCTATAGCAAATTTTTTTGGGCAAAAAGTTTTTTAATCGAATATTAAATTTTATTTACCGTTCCGTTGCGATAAGTGATATTAGATAATTCATTGCATGTAGTTGGATGGATTTTACATGAACATGTTGTGTTAGGGCTAGATCGATAATAATATGGGTAAAATACAAGATTTAAATCATGCGGATTTATTGTTGAGTTATAATCAAAATTAATCGTCGCATCAGCTGTATACCAATAAGTTAGAACAGAAAACAATGCATTTCCCCAAATTGTTTGACGGGACATTGAGATTAAAAGTTGAAATGAATTCGCTGTTGTTTGTTCCATATTACTGATGAGCTGTTGTGTTTGAGAATTAAATAGATCTATTTCTTGTACAGATTTTGTAACATATTTTGTTGAATTGAATATTAATATTTCATTGTTGATTGTTTTCCGTGATAGTTGACAAAAATTTAAAATGGTTGGAAAGAATACTGCATTAGTGTAACGAAAATCGTTGGTATCTATGCCATCACTGCTCACTGATTCTAAATAGTTAGTCCAGTTATCTGTAATAAAATCTGAATGACAAACTGGATGTAATGTAGGTTGAAATGATATGAATTGAGAGTGTTCATTTGTAGTTGATGAACACGGACAGGTCAATGTTTGAGGATATTTATCTTGAAGAGTAAAATAAATATCGATCGAAGGTTCATTAATGGCGATTGTTTTTGTAACAGAATATGTGGAGGCATAGAGAATAAGTATAGAAAATGTAAGAATTATTGAAATGATGAAGATTCGAGTTGAAAGACGTTGACCATATAAATGCCATTCACTGTTTTCATCTGAATCTGAGAAGAAGTTAAGGCTGAGCAAAAACACTTTTATTTTAACAAATAATGAAATTTGTTGCTCAGTAGTAACACCAACAGCTTGCCGTTCTATAAAAGAATAAGAAGAAAAACACAATTAATATGGTTATCAGTGGTGTAGCCAGGGAGAGAGGGCAAATGGGCAATTGCTCATTTCACTTTAGCATCTGCCCATCGCAATTTTGCACTAATAAATCGTTGCCTACTGAACTTTCATTCTTTTGCAATTGCTGTACTTATTAGTGGATTATTTAACATAAGTCTTTTCTTTCTATTTAATTCATTAAATATTTTATGTAAAAATTATTAATAGAACCTTGTTTTGTAAAAAAAAAAGAAACCATTTATTTTCAAGATAAGAAAATTGTCTTACATCGTCTGACATAATTTCAAAGACTTTGGGATCATTTGATAATTTAGTTTTGTATCTGTTTTTTTTCTTCTTTTGAACATGCGTCTGAACCAACCTACAGCTTCCTAACGTTAGCAGAGAGTGATCAAGAGCTTCAGTTCCTTCTTCCCTTATCAAATCTGTATGCCCTGACATCTGACAGAGTCTTTCTAGTCAATTTCTAGCATCCTACTTACAATACGTACCAATATTAGTTTCATGTGGTACAACTTCTGATGATGACGATGATAACAATCGGTTGAAAGTTTTAACTTTTTTTCTTAAGAATTTAACTGTCGGTAATATTACGATCATAAGAACTGTTACAATTCCACCAATAAATGAAATAACAGTCGTCATAATAAAAAGAATATCAAACTGATGAGTATAAGTATATGTGCAAGTTAATGGATTGCACGCATTAAAATAATGTTGATAAGATGAATTCAGTTGCCAAGAATCCACCATTAGTAGATTAGCTAAATCATTAATGGTTGCAAGAGACGAAGCAGAAGAAGGCACTGCTAAAGGTGTTGCATTGAATGGAGAAAGTGAATCATTTAAATATGTGTTTAGTTTCGATAAGCAACTTTCATTATATAAACATGAAAGATTTGATTGAAGAACAGCATAAAGTATGAAAGTGCCTACAAGTACACCTGGAACTTCAAATTGTAATTCTGCTACATATTGGTTCCCCCAATGTAAATCAGATGATGTCTCATTGGGAAGTTTTCTTAAGTAGATACCTGTTGTTGTAGTACAGTATACAGCGGCTGAATTTGAACAATTTCCACCATTTGGATATGGTTGACCTGCCCAAGTTGGGACAAATACGTCGTAGTTCGTGTATAGGTAAAGATATAATTGCCAAAATGTTTCTAATCGATTGTTCACAAAACGACTAACTGATCCCATTGATATAACTGAATCAAGTGTAATTATAAAATCAGTTGCACTTGCATTTTTAAATTGATCACGAGCTGCATTTATGTTAGCTAAAAATATATCTTCTGAAATGGTATTTTCTGTAAGTAAAACTGTAGAATAGAATGAAATTAATTGATCATCAATTGTTTGTTTAGCTAACACACAAAGTGTACGTAACATGGCAAAAAATCCATAAGCTGAATGACGAAAATCGAAAACAAAATGATATTGTTGTTCAAGAAATAAACGATAATTAACATAATTGAGCCAATCATCACTGACAAAATCACTTGAGCAGATTTGATTGAACGTTGGTGTAAATGATGATATGAATTTGTTATATTCATTAGAAACACTTGTACATGGACATGATAATGTATTTGAATATTTTTCTTCTAATTGTGTATAATCGGATAAAGAAGGTTGTTCAATAACTACGGTTTTTGTTAAAGGAGTTAAAGCTGAATAGAGAAAGAGAGCAACAATTGATGTTGTAAACAGAATAAGAAAGATAATTGTCGATATTTTTTGATTTTTGATGTCTTCTTCATTTGTTTTATCAATATCTTTAAATAAATTGATGCGTTTAATTTTAGTTTTACATTCTAAGAACCAATTCCACGGCATTGAAAGGATGATTCTATATAATACAAAAAACTCTTTTTGAAAATACTTTGTTCCTTTTTAACCGACGTAACAACAAAACAAAACAAAATATCCAAGTTATATATTATTTCTTTTATTTAAAAAAAATTTTATTTTTCTTTCTTGTTCATATTCCATGGTTTTTTCATCATTTTAATAAAATAAGTTGATGCAAACTCACATAAAACATAGTATTGTCGCATGGAAAATAAATTCATATTGCAGATAAGCAAAAAAAATAGTTAGAGTACGCATGAACAAATCTACCAATCACCTCTTTTTCAAAGATCGTAAAATATTGTGCTTGTTAAGTTAAAACAAAAAATAACTTTTTTTTTCTTCTCTAGTATAGTTTATTAGTTAAGTGTTTGTAGAAATGAAATTGTGTTAGAAATAATCATTAGAGAATTGAGTTATGACTTCACTGACTTTTTAAAGACTACGTCATTACCTTATTTGTTCAATTTTTTTTTCCTTAGGTGATAACTTTGAAATATAGTAAAGGCAATACTCTCTGATAAAAACTATCGGAAGAAAACAAATTTCAATCGTTCTTGAGTATTTGCATTAACTGATGTCAAAATCGCTCCGGCTTATTCTCGTGCCCTCGTCATCGGAACTCTTACTTTTGAGCATGAATATTGCATTACCTTGATACCTATCATTGTCACCCACTCACATTCTATAACCAAATTCGATCTTTTCAATAATAATGATTTATTTAATATTGTGCTCATGTTATATTGATTAAAAACAAGTTTTTCATTTATCAACTATTACTGAGGGTAGGAGTGTGAAATTTATACAATATCTACACCCACCTCAAAAAGGATCTCTTTAAAATATTAATTATTTATTTCCGTGAAATCATCATATCGACTGACTTTTTATTCGTTCTATGATAAGAATTGACCATTCTCACATATATGCGATTAGAATAAATATAAACAGTTCGTCATCATACTCATTGTATATCACATATAATGACTCTTCTAAATTATATGAACAATTAGATATATACGTCCACAATCGTTAAGTCTTACCTTTTCATTGTTCATCTCATTGATGACATTATACATAAACTCTTTTCATCTCATCTCATTCTATTCCACTGAGTTGAGTTGAGAAGTGTTTTCTATTCATATTAACATACTGATCTGTTCCACAGTATGTTAATATGTTTAGAAATCATTTGTTTGTCTATTTCTTCTCTTCATTCTCTGCTATCAATTATTCTTTTTATTGGAATAGAAAGAATAATTCATAGTACTGAATAAATACAGTACTTTTCCTCTTTTCGTTACTTTAAACAACCTGTCGAATGGCTATTCTCTTTCTTATCCAACACTGAGAGATTCTACCTTCTTCAAACAATAGTTTTATATCGAAAAGATCTTTTCCTATAATATATGTCTCTTGATATGCATTGTTTACCTTACCGATGGGTATTACTATCCATTTGTGCCTCATTAAGATCATAGTTTCTCTGTACGCGCACGCACTTAAAACAATTCTTTTCATGTTTAAAAAGTTTATTCCTTCTCTTTCATAAAAAAAACTACAACAATACAATTAATTATCTGTTTTGTACGTCTTTGAGATTATTTTTAAACATTTGAAGAAGATGATGATTTGAAGGTAATGATTGTTCTCCAATTTGTATAGCATGTTCATAACATGTACGAGCTTTTGAGTAATTACCCATGTTTTTATACGCCAACGCAATATTACTGTAGGAGTAAGCCAAATCAGGATGATTGGAAGGAAGTGATTGTTGTTTGATTTCAAGGGCTCTTTCATGAGAAGAAAGTGCTTTTGGATAATTACCCATGCTGCCATACATATTGCCAATGTTGTTGTAGGACATAGTCAAATCGGGATGATTGGGAGGAAGTGATTGTTGCTGAATTTCAAGGACTTTTTCATAAAAGGAAAGTGCTTTTGGATAATTACCCTGATTGACATGCACATTACCAATATAACGGTAGGAAGGTGCCAAATCAGGATGATTGGGAGGAAGTGATTGTTGTCGAATTTCAAGGACTTTTTCATGACATGAAAGTGCTTTCGGATAATTACCCATGCTGTCATGCACTGTACCAATATTGTTGTAGGAAGAAGCCAAATCAGGATGATTGGGAGGAAGTGATTGGTGTTGAATCTCAATGGCTTTTCCATAATAAGAAAGTGCTTTTGGATAATTACCCAGCTTGGTGTATACGTTACCAATACTACAGTAGGAAGCAGCCAAATCAGGATGATTGGGAGGAAGTGATTGGTGTTGAATCTCAATGGCTTTTTCATGAGACGAAAGTGCTTTCGGATAATTACCCATGTTGTGATGCACTGTACCAACGTTGTTGTAGGATAGAGCCAAACCAGGATGATTGGGAGGAAGTGATTGTTGTTGAATATCAAATACTTTTTCATAAGAAGAAAGTGCTTTTGGATAATTACCCTGCTTGGTGTATACGTTACCAATATTACCGTAGGAAGAAGCCAAATCAGGATGATTGCGATGAAATGATTGTTGTCGAATTTCAAGAGCTTTTTCATGAGACGAAAGTGCTTTCGGATAATTACCCATATTGTCATGCACTAAACCAATGTTGTTGTAGGAACCAGCCAAATCAGGATGATTGGGAGGAAGTGATTGTTGTCGAATTTCAAGGGCTTTTTCATAAAAGGAAAGTGCTTTTGGATAATTACCCATCTTATCATGCACTAAACCAATATGATCGTAGGAAGCAGCCAAATCAGGATGATTGGGAGGAAGTGATTGCTGTCGAATTTCAAGGACTTTTTCATAAAATGACAGTGCTTTTGGATAATTACCCTGCTCGACATGCACGCTACCAATACTACCGTAGGAGGATGCTAAATCAGGATGATTGGGAGGAAGTGGCCGTTGTTGTTTGATTTCAAGGGCTTTTTCATAAAATGACAGTGCTTTTGGATAATTACCCATGCTGTCATGCACTGTACCAATATTACCGTAGGCAGTAGCCAACTCGGGATGATTGGGAGGAGCAATTTTTTGATAGATAGCAAGTGATTTTTCATGAAATGTAAGAGCGTCTTCATATTTCCCTTGATGATTTTTGATTAAACCAAGTTGACCATAAATAGGTGCCTTGCTTTTATCATCCGTTTTTTGATCAAGTAAAACATGATAAATATCTTCAGCTTTGTCGTATTGACCCACTTTCAACAGTACTAAACCCAATCTGTACCATGCTCCATCGCCTGGATGACTCTCTTGTCGAACGTAATCTGTAAGTCTGTGTAATTCTGGATCGCTATCAGCAGTCAGTACCAAGTTGACTTCATATAAACGATTATTTCCATCTATCTGTTGAATGTCCTGAATACGAAAAACGCTATGCATCGAAAATAAGACTTCCTCTTCTTCGTCGAAGTTGCTAGTTCCAGTAATGGAAGCAAATGGTGATGTTGATTGAGATGGATCTACTTTCATAACGAAAAGTATTCCAAATAAATCCGAATTAGTTGAATTGCTTTCAGCAAAAGCATTGGAAACTTCACGATCTTTACTGGTAGATAAGAAGTTGTTGAATGAAATAAGACCACCTCTATTTTTCATCATTTGTTCGAAATCCCCTGTAGATAAACCTTGACCACGATAAACGGTGAAAGTGTTTGCAGCAGTTGTATTAGCATATTGTTCCTTGTGCAGTTGTTCAAGGTGTCGATGTAGATCACCAATGAAGAAACCCATGCGTGTGATGATATCACCATCCATCAATCGTAATGCACAATTGAGCTTGGGGTACAAGAACACTTGAGAGGTATACCAATAACTTGGTGTTTTGTTATGATATTCACGTTCCAATTTTTTAATGTTTTCGATTTCTTTTGTATCACCTTTATAAGCATCGCAACAGTAATCGATGTAATCTTGGATGTGGTTCTCTTCGAATTTAATTGTTAATATAATTTCTATGATGATTTGAGTGTACATAAAAGATGGATCTAATTGATCCAACCTTTTATTTTCTCCCACGAAACTCATGGGAATGGCATTCTGCTCACATTGATGAACAGCTTCCTTGAGTGCTTCGCAGATGGGTGTAACATCTGTGAAGACACCCTTTATTTTGGGCCAATCTCTGGCCCATTGTTCGTGACGGGTTTGGTTGTCACAAAGGACAAATATTGAATCAACTTGGGACATATTGTGCACACGAGGCACAATATGTTGTCCAAGTGATCCAGATATGATCATACATACCTTTTTGTCGACAATTGTTTGAATGAATCCAAGATACTGATCACCATTTGTATATGTCTTGATGTAGTTAACAATATGTCGTAATTTTGTGATTGTATTTTGGCAATCGTCATTCGTCTCGTCAATATCACTGTCTAACCAGAGTAGAAGAACATTTTGCATCTGTTGAGTATTGGTACGTCGTCGACCTTCTTCACCTTTTGTAACTGTAGATGCATTTGCTGTTGATTTTTCTTTGCTCATTGTTTTCTTAGTGAATGATTTGAATTGAAGTTACTGCGTAAAATTTACTAGTGAAGTAATGATCAAAACCGGTTCTTTTTATAAGTGTCTACTTCCTTTCAAAATGTTGTTTTTTCCCTCTTTAACTATTTATGATGTTGCTATGAAAAACAAACGCCGAGCTATTCCGGGAAAAAGAACTCTCTTCTTTCCTTTTACGGAGAAAAAAGAGTGTTGAGTTGTGCTTTTTAATTGATAATTGCAAGTGCGAAAAAAGGTTTTTTTTGTTATATGATGAAATATTTGATGAATCGCATAAGTTGACAACATGGTTGTTGATAGCAGAAATGAGTACTTCAAAAAAGTGTATTGGTCATCAAATGAACGCAAAAAAAGACTTGATCATACGTCATTTTTTTATCAACTATAAATTTCAAATAAGTATGAAGGATACTCATTATAGTAATCCTTAATCTGTATACAAATGTAAGCATATATCATTGCTTTTTAAGTAAATTGAAAACCACAGTCCAATGAAGTCTTTTCTTGTAAAAGTAGGCGATGGGAAAAAATCTCCGTTTTGTTTTCTTTGCGACGATGCAATTTGAATGATATAAAGACGGAGCAAAATATAAAAGAACAGTTTACAATAATTTGAACAGATTGAATGAGAACAAAAATTTGAATAAAGAATCATTCTTTTTTCTGAATAGTTTTTATATAAAAGTGTGATTTTCTTTGTTATGAAGATGAAATATTAGTAGGCTACATGTTATTGCATTGAACTATACTTAACGACAAAGAAAAGGTACACTCGTAATGAACAAACGAAAAGAAAATCTTATCATGCCTTGTTCTTTTACAAATGAATTGAAATTTACAATTTGTAAATTTCAATTACATCTGAAGTATGTATTTTAGCAAAGATCTAACAATGATCTCATAATTCTTTGACTAGAAATGTTTGATCTGTGTTCAGCTAAGATTCTAGGTGGGTGAGTATGGATGTGGAAGTGACAATGAATAGAAAGAATAGACACCCACACCCATTGATGGTATTCACGCTTCTTTCTCCTTTTGTTCTGCTTTTCATATTCTAAAAAATGTTATTATAGATAACATTTTTTCTGATTCTATTCTATTTGATATTACATGGGATATCATGAAGACATTCATTCATATTTTTTCCCTCTCGAATAAACATCGTTTTTGATCATAGAGTCTCACATATTTTCATCTAAAGGATTAATTCTATGCTTGAGACTCACACTGAGATAAAAAAAAAACATGTCGATTTAATTAAATTAGTGCTTATATGAATAGTTCTTCTTTAAGTTAATGCCTACACAATGGAAAAGTATAATTTATCATTCATCGAATTGGATGAAAATCAAAATCACGAAGATTTTGTCATTGTTTGGCTTTCATTGGATGATGTTCCAAATTCAACAACAAATTTTAAAAACTATTTAAAGAAATATGATTCACGTGAAGCTTGTATGAGTTACATAAGAAATTTCAGAAGTGAACGTAAAATTTTTCTCGTCTTATTTATGGACGTCGAGTATTTATCGGTTTTTGAAGAATTATTGCAAATTCAATCAATTTATATTTTAAAGCAACACGATGAAAATTTGCAATTCAATAAACAAGATCATCTAAAGTTAGTTGGTCCATTCGAAAATATAGATGAATTAATCAATCGATTACGTAAAGATATATTATTAACTTATACAAGTGACATAGCAATAAATACATCTTCTCTAAATGAAAACAAGATTGAACAATCGTTAACAAATTTACATTGCAATACTTTAACAATATTATGGTATCATTATTTTATTTGTTATTTAATAAAATATCCAAATTCTGATATGGAAAAATTGAAACAGCTTATGATAAAACAATGTCGATTGGAATATGAAAATAATAAAAGCGAATTAATCAAAATCAATGATTTTGATAGACAATGTTCTAATAAAAATATTTTAAATTGGTATACAAAAGATTCATTTGTATATCGACTTTTAAATAAAGCATTTCGTACAAGGAATATGAATTTTATTTGTCAATTTCAATATTTTTTCATTGGTTTATATCAGAAATTTCAAGAATTATCAGAAGTACAAGAAGTAATATATCCTTTGACTGTTTATCGAGGACAGAATCTTAATATAAATGATCTTAAACGGTTACAATCAAGTGGTGAACGTCTTATTTCAATAAATACATTTTTGTCAACATCACGTAGCGAAGAAGTTGCTCGTTCATTTATTTTTGATGCTCCACTAAGTGTTTTATTTAAAATTAATATTAAAAATATAACTAACAATAGATTTCGACCATTTATCGATATTTCTCGTTATAGCTCTATGCCATACGAACAAGAAATTTTATTCTTTGCTGGAACTATTTTTTCTGTTGATTCTATTCAACATGGATTATTGAACTTACTTTAAACAATGAAATATGTGAACATATTGAAGATTTGATTGATGATTTTCAAAATCATATTCCTTATTTTAAAAACAACCACTATTTATTTATGAAAACAGATGATTTCCGTATGATTAAACAATATTATCACATATTAACAAGGGAAGAATTCTCTTTAAATAATTTATCTATAAATATGATATATATTCATGTTGCTTTTATATTTAGTAATTTAGGATGTTATGAAAAAGCAATTGAATTATATAATAAATATCTTCTCATAAACTATGTTTCTATTGATAATCCTGAAGCAAAAGTTATTCATATGATTATCGGTTATCTCTATCATCATCTTTCTGCATACGATAATGCTTTTATTCATTATGGTATTGTGTTATCATTATTAGATGAAACAAATTTATTATCAATTGAACTGTACAATCATATTGGTGATGTTTGGAATAATATGGACAATATCGATCATGCAATATCATGTTATCAGCAAGCATTAAATATCGGAAGTGCAAATGATATTGTTCGATCTGATATTGATTAGAAAATAAATGATTTACATTTAAAAAAGAAAAACTTAGTTGAGAATTCTATTTATGAAAGACAAATAAATGATACTGATGAACATCATAGATCAATTATAAATCCAGATAATGAAACACAATTGAAAAATTATCAATGTCAACTAAATGATGGACATAATCTTACATCAGTTCAACGTATTGATGTGTTTTATCAAATTGGTATATGTTTAATGAGAAAAGGTGACTCTCATCAAGCTTTACAAATCTTTTCAAAAGCGAAACAGATGATTATTAGTGGACAACTAGATAATGAAATTAATTCTACATCAATTCGATGTGTTGATTTATCGTATCAAATTGGCTTATGTTTGATGAAAAAAGGTGATTTTCTTGAAGCCTTAAATAGTCTTTTAGAAGCTGAACAGATTATTATTAAAGATCCTCCAGTATGGGATCGATTTCCTCAATTACTTGCAACACTTTATGATAATATTGCTATACTTTATTTTCTTTTGCATGAACCTTTTGAAGCTCTATTTATGTGGAAGAAATCTAATGATATTAAAACAAACTTTTCTTACGGTTAATTGTCATATATACTTCTCATACTAAAGAGTCATCGTGATAGAAATACTTTGTTTCCTTATAAATCACTCTAGGAAACATTCTTTTTATAAGCAGTAATAATAAAAACAAAACTCTTTTTTTCTGTTTGTATTTTATCTTACTTCAACTAATATCATATTAATAAAATAAAATAGAATATAATAAGGATCATGATCTTACTCATCATCTATATAATATTCAATAATCTACTATTTCAATTTTTCTTATACGTCCTTTATTATTAGTTGTTAGTAGAATCATTATTTTAAATTTAGTTCAAAAATACAGTTGTAATATTGCGCTAACTTTCCATAAAGTGCACAGAAATTCTGTAGATTTAAGAAGAGTTTCAAATAATAAATACAAAGATGCAGTTGGTAAACAATAAATAAATTGACGCCTTTTTAGTAAAATAAAAAAGAGCCGAAAAGAAGTGCTATTTACCAAGGGTTTTAACATATGAATACAAAGAAAATAAAAGACATTATTTAAAATTCTGTTTGTCATCGATATCAATGTTCATGGGACTTTATTTATTTGATTAGTAAGCAGTTAATCAAACAGTTTCGCAGAATATTCTCTTTGTATATATCGTTGGTCGTCTTGACTTTTAGTCGTTTTGTAAATATTTAATATTAATGATAAGTTACAATCAGAACAAATAAAATAATATCCGGTTTGATATATTACTTTCTTGCACTCTAATAAAGTACCTTTACACTTTATTAAAAATGAAACATAAACAAATCTAATGATTACTATATAACCTTTTGTAGAACTAAACAGTCTATACGTATGTTTGAAAGTTGTTCAATTTCAAGTTTTTTTCTCTACTGAATATGTGTTTCTACTCTTGTATGCATTGATAAACTTTCAGTTATAAAATATTCATTTTACTGAACTAAAAATAAATCGATATAATGTATTCATATACAGGTAACACTTAAACAAATTGAATAACAAATAAAGAAAAAAAGTAGAACAAATTTTGTATCAAGTTAATCCAAAAATAGATTGCATCAATGGATTTAACATATCTTCCATTCCACTTTTTTGTAACATTTCATCCATTATAGTCATTAACACTTGATAATGTAAAATTTGCATAACAATTAATACCATTGATCGTATTGCTTCTTGTTCATCAAAGAGATAATTTAAATAACGCCAAAGTAATGAGACATAATAATTTTGACTTTCATATAATTTTCTTTTATTTATATAATTCATACTTTCACTACTACCACGTGGTGTCGATAAATTAATACTAAATATAAGAACAATCAATGCTATTTGTAATATAGCGGGATATTTCATAAAACGATCAAATTTTTGTCGTGTTCCAGACATTTGTCGATGAAAATCTAGACTTATCCATTGTGACATATGTTCAGCCATTTTCGAATTTTCGTGAAAATTTTGTACTATTACAAGATGCAAATGTATAATATCAACCATATTACATTTAATTAATAAAACTTGATCATCAGTATCTAATTGTCGAAATTCTGGAATATGTTTATAAAAATAAATTAATGATTTATGATTGATACTTTCATCATTGATAAACTGTGTTAATGATGATGATGATGTATAACGATTTACATGAGAAGAATCAGCTTGATCAGCTCCGTATTTATAAGCACATATGATATTATTTAATAGAATTTTATCATCAGCAGATAGATTACGATGAACACCGAAAGAATTTAATTTACAAATCTATAAAAAAAGAAAATTAGAATTGATCTACTTCATGCGTAAAATTTTACTTTAGGAATAATAAATGCTTGTGATACTAATCTGGCAGTTGCTGGTAGAATACGTTTTTTCTTTCGTATGACTATCGGTAGTTTTACCATTAATTGATGATCAGCTGATGATTTGTTTAGTTTTCTTTGTTCTTTTTGTAGATTTTTCAATAATCGTAATTCACGTTCTTCATCTGTACGTATCCATTCTTTACGCATATTTACATCGAAACATTTCTTTAGTCGACAATAAGTACATTGACGTCGCGTAGATATATTTATCACACAGCAGCCAGCGAAACGACATTTAAAATTGGACTAAAAGAAAAATACATATAAATCAGTATTTCATGACTTTAATAATGACTCATCGAATGTCTCATAAACGATTGATTTCGTCAAGGTCTATTCATTTTCTTTTCAAAATCCTCCAATTAGCATGAATATTACCTTGATAGTACCTATTTAATGAGATATATGAATGAATCATTACCGTATTTTTTAATGCGTTTCGACGAAAAAATGCTTTGCATGATTCACACGTGATCTGATCAAAATTATAACCATGTGCAGGAGCACCACAAACACAACAAATTAAATTTAATGGATCAATTTCTATATCTGGACTGTGTGTTGATGATGCTTGTAATGAATAGTGATCAGCCTATTTAAAAAAAGATATATGATTTATATTAAAAAATCATATTACTAGTATTCATATTTAACCTCAGGTGATGATAACATTTTTTCAAAATCTTCTTCACTCGAAATATTACCGGACTTCAAATAATCAGCATCTTCAGTAAATAAATAATCATCGGGATTCATTGGAAATTCGTTAGAAAAAAGCAATACACTATTTTCTATCTTATTCCAAAATTCATCACTCAACATTGTAGTCGTCATGATCTAAAATATCAATAAAATATGATTAGTTTATTTTTTATATTAATCCTAGTTTTCTATCGTCCACAATGGCGTCTGATATATATAAAACAACAAAATATGTCACCTGTTGTTTTTATTTATCATTAAGAAAAAAACGCGGACTATACTAATATTTCCTTTCATGTTTTTATGGCCGAAGAAAAAACCAATCATTGGATTTTAATATAGAAAAATAGTTTACAAGAAATAGATAGAAGAATCTTTTTTACAGATTGAATTACTATACCTTTTTGTGCTGTCTTTTATAGGACAAGTACTATACTATATTGATCATAATCGATCTGAATAGCATAATAAAACAGTCGTCATTGAAGTCAGGCTTGTTTTTTCAGTTCTTCGAAGTATATAAGTCTGAATAAAATCTATAGTGAAAATAGCGACAAGATTTTTTTCCTTCTTCTCCTTCTTCTATTTGCGGAGGTAGTAGGTAAGCAAAATGGTTTCTGTGTCATCCTTTGAAAATGTGACCATGAATAAATGAGTCAAAAAAAGAAAAACACAGACATAGGACACGAGGAAAAAAACACTTTCTGAAGCGTTGTAAAACAGTAATGACATATTGTCAGGAATCAAAAGTGTTAATAGAAACCCTCAAGAAAAATGTCATAGTAAAAAAATTTTCTATAACAAGTTTTAAAATATTTTGTTTTTGAAGTATATTGTGTAGTACTTATAGATTGAGTCATTTTATGTATAGATTCAATTGGAATAGGAAAAACAGAAGTTTATTTAGTATAAAACATGACATCTGTAATAAAAATAAAAAAAATGTGTTGTTTTTATTATGAAAGCATTAATTGGTATACTTTAGTTATCTCTGTTGTAAGAATAGGATAAATATTTTGGACTTATCTAAAGATAAATTAATATTAATAATTGAAGAAATTCAATACATATATATTTATGTAAATTTAGACATTGTTAATACGAGAAAAAGAAACTTATTTTGACCTAGAATATTCTAAGAACATGTCTAAATAATTATTTGCTAAATTCGTCAAGGGAAAATTTTTTTTCAATATAATTAATATAAAGAAAACAAAAAAAAAGTTCTATATTTATTTAACGCTTACTTTGGCTTGAGATCTTTTTCTATTTGGTTTAGACGAACTAAAAAATTGTTTTTTTTCTATTTCACTAGAAGAGAACGAAAAACTAAGCAGTAAAATGCATATATATTTTTCTTTCCTGTTAATAGTAAATGAAAAAGAAAAATATGACATTGCTGCTTCTGCCTATTCTTTCTTATATCGTAGTGAATTAAATATAAATTTATTCTTTTATATTTATTGTAATATAATAATAATCATAATAAAAAAAAATGTTGTGTTTTAGACAAAATAAAATGATTGTGTTATAAATAAAATTCTATACTCTTTTAAACAAAATAACAGTATTATAGAAACCTAAACTGAAATAAACACATCATCTTTTAAGAATTGTAATAAAAAATGACGAATGATTTCTAATGATTATTTAAGTTTCGTTAGAGGTCACTGAGTTTTGTTTAACGTATTTCGAAAAGCTTATTAAAATATTTATATGAGAATTAACTCCAAAAAAATGATATTAATTTCATGTCATAACTAATGATTTAACAAAAAAGATACTGTTTTTTTGACCTTTGAAATGCCCTCAGAATACGTTTGTTAAAGGCTATTAATGTCAAATGACACGTGAGCCTTCGTTTTAGCAAATGTATTTTTATAGTCAAAGAGATAATATCTTTTTTTTCATTAAATCATTAATTTTTTTACATAGAATATAAATTATCAAATTCAATAAATTTTATTTTTGCAGATATTATCTTAAGACAAGTTTCGATCATATGAAATTGTCAGTTCAGTTTTATCACGTGATAGCTATATAATTTAATTCATGCAGTAATTGTGAGTAATAGTTAATATTAAATAATTTTTTTATTAATGTTTTCGAGTTAAATATCACGTCACAGAAATACATTAACATTCAAGCTGTTGCCTTCCAACATATAGTAAGCATATGAATATATTATTATAAGAAATTTTTATTGACTTTTTTTGTTTATCAGAAAGGAAAAAACACGGCCCTATTTGTCTAATAATGCAGAACAATCATTCTTATAAAGAAACAACCAATAATAGATTTTTTTGCGTGGAGACTCTTATTTAAAGATGTTGTCTATTAAATACTATCATATATGGAATTATTCAAAATAGCTTTGATTCAGTTTGCTAAAAGAATAGCAAAAGAAAAAGAAACTATAAAATTATTTTAGTTGATCAGTATCTCACTAAATGAAACAACTGATATAAATAGAAAAATCTCAGCATTCGTCATTTTGACCTTGTTTCAACAATAATATTTTCAAAATAATAATAAGATTATTATGTTTTATTTTAATGGACTTTCGAAAAATCAAACCATATGTTTTAGTTCTCATATATAAATATTCGCATTTAAATATCTAAAGGTGTACCATATTCACATCATCAAGTTTTGTGAAAGAGAATAGCAGCAATGTCGAGCGCAAGTTTTGGTTGGATCTGCTTATTACTTATTGTTTTTGTACCAGTAATTGATGGGCAATTAACACGTTTTACTGGAGGTGTAAACGGTGGTTCTGACTGTGCAACATGTTCAATTGTTTTAGGTCTTATTGACAAACTTTCTATTGTTTATAATACAAGTGTTGTAAATACACTAGAAAGATTTTGCAACCTTTTACCAGGTCAATACAAATTATATTGTAAAGCAGCTGTAGACTTTTTAGGTAAGTTTATATAATTAATATAATGAATAAAAATAAATACAATCTTTCGTATAGGTCCTTATATTGTTGATGCTTTTATCAAAGGAGATAATCCTGATGTTATTTGCCATTCATTAAAAATTTGTCATGATACTGCTGGTCAACCAAAATGCCGTATATATCCACAAGATCCGTCTATTTCAGTACCTCAACGAGCTTTAGATCTTCTACGACGACATCCATACATAAATGCTCACTTCAAAGACAATCCAAAAATTTGCGATTTTCCTGGTATTAAAGAAATTTGTAAAATACTTGACAATGTTTTTAATAACCATATACCTTTGGTCGATCTTGATCATGATAAATTCGGTGAAGAAGTAACACTTCGTGGTAGTTCATGGCGAGGAAAAGATTGTAATGATGCTTCAGCAAGTGTTCATCCAGGTGCTCATGTTGTAAACAGTGATGTTACTGTTGATCATAATTGTAATGGTATACTCGGTATGGATTCAACAAGTGGACGAGCATATGAAGATGAATTTTGTAATGATACACGACGTTTGGGAATAGCTGTTTTAGGTGATTCAATATCAGCACATTTTCATATTCCTGAACAATGGATGGATGCTCGAGAATTTTCAGTTGCTGCATTTGAACATTTACCATTTATTCTTGAAAATGAACTTGATTGGCCACAGATGTCAGCTACTACAGGTCATGTGAATGTTAGTTGGCCCAATATAGAAGGTGATTACAAAAAGTTTTCTTATTAACATTTTCTTTTCAAGTATATATATATATATATTTACAGGAGATACTCGATCACTTTATCTTCGTCTTTTTGATTTGGATCATTGTAATCATCGTGATTATCAAAATATTGCTGTAAATGGTGCTCGCAGTGGTTCTATGCTTGATATTATGAAAGCCTTAGCACGTGATCCAAAAAATGATGTACCATTACTTGTTATCTATTCTTTAGTTGGTAATGATGTTTGCAATGGTCATCCAGATACAATTGATCATATGACTACAGTTGAGGAAATGTATAAAAATGTATTCACTACACTTACTTATCTGGATACAGTTTTACCAAAAGGTAGTCATGTAGTTACAACTGGTTTGGCTAATGGTAGTATGTTATATGATTTACTTCATAATCATATTCATCCATTTGGTCGTGTTGGTGTACCACTTACTTATCCACAAATGTATGATTATTTATCTTGTCTACAAATTTCACCATGTAATGGATGGCTTACATCAAATGCTACACTTCGTGATTTAACTACACAACGAGCTGTTGATTTATCTGGAGCTGTACGAAATGCTTCATTTACTTATCAACCACGTAATTATGATATTGATTATCTTGACTTTCCATTTGATGCAGTTATTCAAGAATGGGTTGCACAAGGTGGTCAACCATGGCAAATAGTTGAAAGTATTGATGGTTTTCATATTAATCAATATGGTCATGCACTTGTATCCGATGTTCTTTGGGCATGGTTACAAAAACAACATCCACAATGGTTACCACCTATGAATCCACACAATGCAGACATTGAACGTGTGTTTAAAGATCAAGGTGGATATTAATATTTTCAAATAATATTTATTTATTTTTATTGTTATGAAAATAAGAAAATAAATTTATTCTAAAAGTTTTCTAGCTAGTAATCATCTACATTTTATTAAATAACTCATTACAATCTATTTCATTAAGATTATCGATTTTTAACAAGAGTAATCATAATTTCTTATCGTTCGTTCTGCTATAATCATAATATATAAAGTTAATGAACTATATAATGATCTTTGAAGAGGAAATTTTATGATCTGAATAGTAATTCAATTTGTCTTTTGAATATTTCTCATCTTATTAACAGAAAAAACTTTACTTTCGAATCTATATAATTTATTATTTACGTCGATCAACATTTAACATTATACGATAGACAAAATCGATTCTTTTATCAAGCGGCATAGTACACTTCAATCGTATGAATTATTCATTGTATTAAATAACTGATTCAATGATGTGATAAATGAATTGAAGAAAACATACTTCAGTCATTTGATTCATTTCTATAACAAAAAAAAAGAAAGACGGAATCAAATGCATTACTTTGTTTTTTTTTCGTTA